ATTTTAGTCTTCAGTGAGCAAATAAATCAACCAAACACAAATTCCCTAGGTTCTTAATTCCACTGTCAAACTTTAAAAATATGTTCTTATTAAAGAAAGCCTGATTTTAAAAATTGCAAATTTATTTTAAAATAATTTATTAAAAATTCTATACAAAAGGATTTTAAGTTTTTAAAATGAAATTAAATAGGCTGCACTACCAAGTGAAGAACAAATGAAGCGAAGAGAAAACCCTAATGTTACTGAGGATTCAATTTATCAAGCCTAAGTTTGTGCTCAACTTTTTAGAAATACATCTACTGGATTAAATCTGTATATGACTTTTTCCACAACAAACAAGGCTCACAAGGTGAAAAAGTACCACAAATAGAATTCCACCTGAGTAAATACAAGTTCAAGATATCTAGAATAGTCCACTACCCCCACTGATTTTCCATTCTGCTTTACTGATGTAGGAGCAAAGAATCTTGCTTGACTAAGAAATTCATAACAGAAGCTTTCACAGCTGTTACTCCACTACAACACTAACCTTTCAGGAAAGTGTCACTTCATGGTGCCTGCAGCAGAAAACCTATACAATTCAATTTAATATTTTTAATGAAGCAGGATTAGCTTTTCAATGCATTATGTTCCTTAAACTTCTATTTAAAAGTTGTTACTGGTGCTTCCCTGGTGGCACAGTGCTTGAGAGTCCGCCTGCCGATGCAGGGGACACGGGTTCGTGCCCTGGTCTGGGAAGATCCCACATGCCACGGAGCGGCTGGACCCGTGAGCCATGGCCGCTGAGCCTGCGTGTCCGGAGCCTGTGCTCCACGACAGGAGAGGCCACAACAGTGAGAGGCCCGCGTACCGCAAAAAAAAAAAAAAAGTTGTTACTAGCAAAGCTTCTAAAATGTTGAGGCTCAGGGCAGAGATAAACATGAGGCTATGTGGAGAACTCAAAGCCTAGAGGTTAACCAACTTCAAATTGTCTGTGAATGATGATATTCAAACTACCATACCAAGCCCCTCATCTCATAAATAGAGCCAAATCATGGTCAAAGAACAACATAGCTGTCTGCAGTTAGTTGGACCTATAATTTACTAGAACACTACCATTTTATAGCCACTAAAGGTATACATAATAAAAGCAAAATATCATCAACTAACAAAATTGAGAAGGAGGAGAGATCAGATAATATTAGAAAAACCATCTTTTATGATTAATTAGAAAAGCAATTCTCACTTATTAAGGAATACTGAAAACTGCTATTTCTACCTCAAAATGTGTTATTCTTTTTAATTAAGAAAATTGCACTTCACATTTGAAAAAACTTAGCAACAAAATCATGGGATAACAGTCTCTCTGGATAATGTGCTGTACAGGAATATGACCAATCTGAGACCAAATATCAATAAAAGGGCAACACCCAGCTGTGTGCCTTTAAGCACATGATTTAATTCAGCTCTTCTGAATATCAGGTTGCTCTTTGTCAAACGAGGTAGTGATATCTGTCTCACAGGATTGTTGTGAAAGTTAAATGAAATAAGGCGTGTATAAATATTTATCCAGGTAGCATACTACATTTTTTTCAATTATTAGAAGTATGTTTTTCCTCTACCCTACACATACATTTGAAATCAGGCTGCATTTAAAATGATATTAAATGTTACTCCTTCATTTCCCTTCCACAACTGAAAAAAAGACTGTGATTCAGGTAGAGATTATATCTAATAATCAAGGATATCTTTTAAAATGAGGAAACAGGGAAACAGTCAGCCTAAGCATATTAGTTTTTTTTTTTCTCTGTCCTTTTAGGCACTCTACTGTGGAAAGTACAGTTAACCTTTGGTTGCCCAAAACCATCTTCTCCTTAATTTAACATTTAACAACTGTCTCTTCATTTGTCTATTAAAAATTATCTGAGGGCCCCACGAAATTGTGAAAGATGCTGAACTGACAAGGCACTAATGGGGACAATTCCTGAAGTCATGGACGTGATGTATAAATTTAACAGATTCCCTTAGTATCCTAGTGCTAAGAGAGTCAATAATTCAGGACATTTTTGTGTCTAATGTAAAACCTAAAGGGACAACAGCATAAAATAAGACTACTCCAGACAAACTTACATATATGATCACCGGACTCATTATCTCCAAATAGGATGTATGCAAATGATCTTTTGCTTCAGAAGGAGAATAAAAGTACTTTGTTATCTTTTTTGCGGAAGGGAGGGAGGGAGAGAGGAAGGAAGGAAGGGAGGGAGCACCTAGTGCCCAGATCTTGGTTTCTAATACCATTCTCCAATAAAAGAAATCTGGCTCCCTGAGATATGGATCATGATTCTAGGACTGGGGCAGGAAGTATCAAGATGAGCTTGGAGTATCTTGCAGTGACAGAAAGTAAGGAAGAGCTGATTAAACAAAGAACAAACAAGAAAATCAACAACAACAGCAAAACACCATAATGATGGAAGTATGTCAAAGGGACACAAGATCTGACTGAAAGAAATCCCAATCTGGAGCTGGAACAATTTGAGCAACAAAGTAGTACTGGACTGTAATATATAAAATAAATATCCATAAGTCTATACTGATATAAATAAATTATTGCATAAATCAATAAATGAGGGAGAAGAGACAAATCTCTCATGCAAAAGAAATAAAAGGTGTTCCACTCTAACAAGGTAGAGTCTGGGCTCCTTAAGCATGCACTGTGCATAGTTACTTCCTTTCAAAGAGTACAGTATAAGGATAAGAAGGGGAAAAAAGAGTATTTTATAGTGAAAGAGTATTTTTATATAACACTACCTCAACCAAGTGATTAATGTTAACATCAACAGTGACAAATCATGTTGATAGTATGTACCTTTTATATGATATGATGAAAATGGCTCTTCACCTCTGTGGTCTCCTTCCCCAAAAGACATAATCCCAGTCTAATAACGGGTAAAACATCAGACATTCTACAAAGTATCTGACCAGTGCTCTTTGAAACTAACAGGGTCATGAAAAACAAAGAAAGAAAGAAAAACCTGTCACAGCCAAGAGGTGCCGTGCCTAAGGAGACATGACTACTAAATGCAGTGTGGTATCCTGGATGGACCAGGGAACAAAAAGAAGGACATTAGGTAAAAACTAAGGATATGTGAATAAAGCATTGATTTTAGTTAATAATAATGCATCAACATTGGTTCATTAATTTTGACAAACATATCATACTAATGTAAGATATTAATAATAGGGGAAATTGGATGTCAAGTATCTGGGAACTCTGTAGTATCTTTGCAATTTTTCTGTAAATCTAAACCTGTTCTAAAATTTAAAATTTATCTAATAAAAATAAGAAATAAATTATAATATTTAATCTGCAGATTAACATTATGACCCTTATTTTGTCCCAATGTAAGCCAGTCCCTCTTATTATGGTATACATGACATCCTGAGGAAATAAAGGGGGTCGGCACACAGAGAAGCTGACAGTGGAGGCCTCCTTTCAGCATCCTACAATGTACTGCAATTCACACCCGTGCCTAGTTAAGTAGTTTAAAACTAAGCTAACCCTCACAAGAATACACACATGGTTTAACATATTTTAGGCAAGAAACAGCAGGTAAAATATAATATTAATAATATAAGCACAGGCTAGAAATAAAAGCGACATTTCTCCCATTCCTAATATGAGTTCTTTATCAGTCACAAGAAGTTAAAAATGATGATTTTTTAACTAATAAAATCTGACCAGAAGTAGGCCAAAAAATTTCAAAATTATCAAGAGGCCTAGAGGCCTTTAATGTATTTTTATTAATGTAATGACTAAACCAAGGTTAGATACATATATCAAATATGTATTTTTAAATAGTAATAAATTAATGAAAGGCAAGAGTAGACTTATATCCACTATTATTAATGATAAACCCTGCCCTAAATGTATGCTGTGCTTCAAGATAACAGCTAATGATATTAGGCCTTTTTAACCAGCACAACATATATTCAGATTATAAAGATAAATGTTTGTCATTTGTAGCAATGTTTAAAGTCCTGCTATACCCAATTTAGTATTTTATGACATTTCACAAGAGATAATGGCAAATATGCAGAAACCTTTACACACGCTTCTAACCTGTCTTCTTACATTTGTTGGATTCTGGTTTTGAAAATGAAATACATGAAAAAGATATATTCTCAATATATTCTCAACAGCAAATGACTTCATTAATGAAAGCAACGTTTTAGTTAAAATTGTGAAAGTATAACCACTGAGAAGGCAGTCACTTGATCAGAATAAAAAGATTTTGAGGTAAGGTTTAAAGGTTATCACTACATATGAAATTCACTTTCCACATCATTCATAGACAAGCAGCAGTAGAAAAGCAGATGAATCCAAAAATGTACAAATTGCTACAGGATATCACTGATATGGTTAATTTCATAGCAACAAGACCTTTAATAAATAAAGGAATACCTACATACTATAATGAGGTATGTAGCAACTATAGCACAGTATTTAAGTGACTTAGCTCCAGAATTGGACTACATGAGCTATAATACTGACAATTAAATTTATTAGCTATGAGACCCTGGACATGTTATTTAATCTCTCTCTGAGTTACTGTCATCTGTAGAATGGTAGTAATAATAATTTCTACCTCACAGAATTGCTAAAAGTATTATAAGAGATATTTCATTAGAGCACTTAGAACAATACTTGGCACATGGTAAGTACTCAAAAAATATTAGCTATTATTGGGAGTAAAGCATTATGGGAGTATTCATGAAAATCTTTTATATCACAACAAACTTCATTAATTATCTTAAAGATATCAAACCCAGAGATGAATTACACACTTTTCTTTTACAAATAAATAAGAATGGCCTGTTCTGGGATATTACATAAAGACTCAGGTCTTTGAGACTTCCATCAGTGTCTCCTTCTTAATTAGTTAAAGGTTATATTGATAGTGTGGCCACAAACAGCTAACAGAAAATACTTCACTAGAACTTAGAAACAGTATACGTACCCTCAAATCAGGAGAAAAGTTCTCTGCAGAAGTTGATATGGAATCCGATGATACAACAGAAGCTGATTTTGTATGCACTGAATTCTCTGAATGAGAAGTGGAAGCACTACAAGATACAAAAGTACAGTGTGTTTGAAAAATGGGCGGTAAAATCCATTTTCAGAAATTTTATTAACTATAACTCTATTATTTCTTAAAACTTCCACTGCCAACCAGTCCTACTTTGGCTAGTCAATCTTATCTCTAAATACTGATAAATTGCAAGCTCTATTGGTAAGAATAGGGCTAAGTATTATTACCATCCACATTCCCTCCGGACAAGCTTCCCCAGTACTCATGAATACACTCCAGGTTAATTCTTTCTTTTTATCCAACCATCCATTTATTCATCCAATGATCAGGCTAATGTGCAAAACCATTACACCAGGCACTATGATTTGGAGATATATATGACAAAACCCTCATGTTCATAAAGCTCACAAGCTTGTGAAAGAGACAGACAAGTAGATAATGGTGCAATGTGATAACTCTTAACTACATACACACACACACACACACACACACACACACACACACACACACACACACGGGGTGGGGTGAGGGCAGAGAGAGAGAGGAAGAGAAAGAGAAAGAAGGACTATGATTACGAACTTGGAGAAAAGAAAAGCACCTAACTCTACCCAGGAAAGTTCAGGGAAGACATCACAGAGGAGGTGATATCTGAACTGAGTCTTGAACAACAGGAAATTGTCAGACTGACAAGTAAGGGAATTCCAAAAACAAACAAAAATCACTACAGAGGTGTAGAATTATCAAAGAGCACAGAGCACTTGAGAAACTTCAAATAGTTCGACAGTGCTGGAAGAGCAGAAGAGCAGAAGATGGAAAGATGAGCCTGTCTTTGTACCTTGTACCTTTCCATGAAACCAAATTCTATATTTTTAACAAGCCTGTCTTAAATATCCACTTCTTCCTTTACAATAAGTAATCACACTCTAGAGTTACTTTTATTCTTAAATTCTTATAGAACTTTTGATAACTGATCACATACTGCCTTTTACTGTTTACTGATCTCAGGTATGTAAATTTAGTTTCACCAACTAAAATTTAAATACCCCAAGAGGGAGGACCGTGTCTTTATTTTCCTTAAAATCGACTTCAGTGCCTGCGTATATAGCTAACATGTATTATGTTTCTTAAATTCAAAAATACAGGACTTCCTTGGCGGTCCAGTGGTTAAGATTCTGTGTTTCCACCGCAGGGGCCATGGGTTCAATCCCTGGTCAGGGAACTGAGATCCTACATGCCCTGCGGCCAAAAATACAGTGACAATATACCTATGCCACAAACTAAAAAATTTTTTTAATTATTAAGGAAGAAAAATCAATGGTAGAAAAATCTCACTTTGAATTGAAACTTAAAGTTCTGATAAAAAAATATATTTTTCTAAAGTTTCATTCCCAACATATTAAGTCTCCCTCACATGAAAAGTCAAAACTTCTTCATTAGATTCTGATGGAATAATCCACCTTGAGGTTGTGATAATATTTAAGAACCATATTTTTGTTTTAAAATTTGTCCATCATAAACCTGTGTATAATGATTACTAAACTATTTATACAATGTGAAAATCATCTCCCTTCAAAAAACTGTCAGTTCATTTTTTTATTGGTTTTTTCAGCTTTATTGAGGTTTGATTACTAAAAATTTTATATATTTTAAGTGTACAACATGCTTATATATTTTAAGTGTACAACATGTTTTGACATATGTATACATTGTGAAATCATCACCACAATTAAGTTAACTAAAACATCCATCACCTCACACAGTTACCTTTCTTTTTCTGGAGAGAGAATTTGAGATCTACTGTCTTGGAAGTTTCAAGTATACAATATGGTATTACTAACTATAGTCACCGTGCTATATATTAGGTACCCAGAACTTAATTTATAACTGAAAATTTGTCCCTTTTGATCAGTATGCCCACTTTTCCCCTCTTCGATAGGATTTGAAAACATTTTCTCTCACTCGGTAGGTCACTTTTTCATTTTGTTTATTTTTTCTTTTGTTATAGGGAAACTTTTTGTTTTCAATGTAGTCCCAATAGTTTATTTTTGCTTTTGTTGCCTGCACTATTGGTGTCAAATCCCAGAAACTATTCTCAAGACCAACACCAAAGAGCTTTTTCCCTATGTTTTTCCCTATGTTTTCCTCTAGGAGTGTTAGAGATTCAGGTCTTACTTTTAAATGTTTAATCCATTTTGTGTTGATTTTTGTGTGTGATGTAATACAAGAGTCCAATTTCATCCTTTTGCATGTGGATATCCATTTCACCACCACCATTTATCGAAGAGTCTATCATTTCCCCACTGTGCATTCCTGGTGCCCCTTCAAAGGCAAGTTGACTGTATACATGTGTGGTTCTATTTCTGGGCTCTCTATTCTGTTCTAATGTCTATGCGTCTATTTTCTTATGCTGGTACCATATTGTTTTGATAACTATAGTTTTGTAATACAGTTTGAAGTTAGGAAGTATGATGCCTCCAGCTTTGTTCTTTGTGCTCAAGATTGCTTTAGCTATTTCAGGTTTTGTGTGGTTCCATACTGACTTTAGAATTGTTTTCCTATCTGTGAAAAATGCCATCAGAATTTTTATGTAGAATTCATTGAATCTGTAGATCACTTTGGGCAGCAGTGACATTTTAACAAGATTAATTCTTCCAATCCATTAACATAGGATAACTTTCTATTGATTTGTGTCTTCTTCAATTTCTTCCATCATTTTATAGTTTTCTTCATACAGGTCTTTTACCGCCTTGGTTAATTTTACTCCTTAGTATTTTATTCTTGTTGATGTTATTGCAATGAATTTGTTTTCTTAATGTCTTTTTCGGAAAGTTCATTGCTAGCATATAGAAACAACCGATTTCTGCATGTTGATTTTGTATCCTGCAACTTAACCTGAATTTGCTTATTAGTTTTAACAGTTCTTTTGGTAGAGTTTTTAGTGTTCCATGTATAAGATCATGCTACCTACAATATGTTTTTATATATTTATACAATGTGAAAAACATCTCCCCTAAAATAAACTGTCACTCCACTTAAATGAAAATGGCATTCCAGTGTGAACACTTCAAAATTGTTTTTTCAAATACAAACATCTCTTTATTAACTATTTCAAAGTATAATTGTGTAATTTTTTTGTATCCAAGGATCTATATTATACAAAGGAGCAGTCATAAGAATTCTATTATCTAATTTTATAATGCAAGGAAAGAGAAACTGATAGGCTGAGAATAATTTCTTCCTTTTTTCCTCTACCAATTTCTGAGTAATTAAATTCCATGTGCATTAAAGTAACAAGTAAAATAGACCAACTTTAGGCACAGTACTCTAACAGATATTGTTTGCTGCCTGCTCCATATATATACACACCCCTTTCTTTCCTGACTTTAGTTAGGACAGTTTGTGGCCAGCCCAAGATGACGTGCTTGTTTTTGGCTCCCTTGTGTCTAGGAAACAATGTGACACAATTTTGGCCAATGAGATTTAAGGGGCAGTTTATTAATTGTTATGGAAGCCTCTTATTTTCTTAATAAAAGGGAGCAGAAATAGCAAGGTGGTCCTTAACCTTTCCTACTTTCTCTTGCCTGGACCAAGAACGTAAAGCTTGGATATACTGTGGCCATCCTATAAACATGAGCAAATGCTGGCTTGCGAAGGACACAAAAGAGCATAAAGTCCTCTCCTGGTAAGCAGCTAAATCTACACCAACAACTCCCTACTTTGGGAATTTTGGTTATGTAAAATAAATAAGTTCAATTTTTAAAATCACTAATGGAGTTTTCTATTCTGTATAGCCAAACACAATTCTAAGTGTTACAGCAATCAACACCTCACAAAGTCTACTTTGAACAAGCTAAAATGCATGGTACTATTTTTTATGTATATGATCTTCTGGGAAAACAGAAAAAACATGTAAAGGCAATAAAACACAATTTGGAATTATGGGTAGTGTGTACCTAAAAATAATAGTATCAATAGGAATATTATAGCATGTACCATTAAGATACCAAATAGTTCTTTAGAGCCAAAGTATGAAATAAACAAATTTAAGAGAAATAAAGTAACAAACAAAACCAGGTCTTGCAACTAATACTTTGCGTCTCAAAGAATCAGTCTTTCAAGCAAAAGTGTGGAAAACAGCCTTTAATTATTAACTTCTCTTTTCAGATACACATAAACATGGGTAGATATTGTGATCTACACTGTTGCATTTGAATAAGCACTAAAAGGTTTTAAACTCCAGGCAGGCAACGAGGGGCTGGAAGGGACAAGGGTGGGAACACACCACCACCACCACCACCACCACCAGAACTCATGAAAGTTCTGGTATAAACATGAAGTGGCTACTCAGACTGAAGGTCACCACAGAATGCAGTTCTTTTTCAGCAGTTATTTTTCTCCTGTCATATGGGCTCTATGCATGCTTCTGATCACCATGGCTACTACAATAATACAACCTAATTTCCACTGCTCTCTTCCATTTCCCCACTGCTCATCTTGAGGTCAAGCTATGTTGACCTTCTATGAACTGTTCCACAAACAAGCTCTGTATTTCCCTGAATTCATACCTTTGCTCATGCCATTCCAAAAAGAATGCCCATTTATCCCAATCTATTTATTAACATCCTACTTACACTTTAAGACCCGGTTAAAAGGCTAGCTTTTTCAAGAAATCTTCCCCAGGTCTTCCAGCTGGAACTCTCAGTCGACTACACTTCTGCCTATACTCTAAAATGGCACTTAACACTTTCCACATTAGACTAGAGCTCTTTGGTTACACAGCCTCCTCCTTTTAAAATTATAAACTGCTAGAGAATAAGAATCTTGTAATTGGCAAGGCATTTGAACTCAGAGCAAAGATGGCAGTCTGCTAATCTCGTTAAGTAACCAATGACACTTTGGTTTTCCTAGGCCCATAAACTTCACTACACAAATTTCAATCCAAACATTCCTGTTATCCTCATCATCCTGAACTTCTTCAAAAATGCCAGACCTTCTAGTCCAACTATGTGTTTTCTCCATCCATTTTCCCTGCCC